TTTCCAAAGGTGATCCCAAAAGAGCATCACATCCATTAGCAAGCATGAGGTTGGCAGAATCATGTTATGGGGTTTCTTTTCTGTGATGGAAATAAACCTGCGACAGACTGGCGACCTGTCCAGGATGTACCCCGCCTCTCGCCCGGAACGTTAGCTGGAGATAGGCACCAGCACCCCTCCCGACCCCACTGAGGGACAAGGGTGTTCAGAAAATGGATGGATGGATGGATGAAATAAACCTTTTCTGATGAAGAGTAACCCCATAACATGATAGTTACTTGTAGTGTTCATTTAAAATAAAAAACTAACCAGAAATTGCAATTTTTCTTTCAATTTGTTTCTTTCTAGGCTCTGATTTGCTTCCAAATTGAAGCAAATTGGTTCTATTCCATCTGTCATCTTTTACACCAACATTTAACGGACAAATAAAACAACTTTGTGAAAGATTCCTTGTCTGGGTCAGAGTCGGCACTGCTTGTCTGCTGCTGCCATCCTCCTCATCCGCCCCAGCTGCTGCGCTCTAATGACCGCCAGTCGTTTGATCGGCGGCTCGCCTGTCATTGAATATGTGTGAGAAACCTGCCGCTCATTCTCTTCATCGTTCTTCAGCTGTACTTTCCACAGTAGTCGGTGAGTGGAAGCCATGGTCATGGTTAGAATGGGGGGGAGAGGAACGCAATATCAAAAAAATTCTTAATCTGTTTTCAAACGGAGGAGAGGTTTTGTTGTGCCTTCGCTTTTCTTGTCATCTTAGTTCAAAGGAACACTTTTCACTTCTCTGTGGAGGAGTCCATCTAGATTAGCCTCAAAGACACAGAGTGGTGTCTTTTCTAGAGCTTTCACAACTGTGCTCATAATACAGCCATTTTTATAAAATAAACTGTATTAAACTCGCCTTTTAGCTTTTGAAGGGAATCCAAAAAAATCATCCATTTAAAAGTATTTTTTTCACACTATGAAACTTTAAACTTTAAAGAGGAACAGCAAAGGAATTTGATTGGATTGAATCGATTTCCTAGTGGTTCTATTTGCATGTTTACTGTCGTTCTGATAGAAACTGCACCATTTCTATCAGAACAACATGTCGTTTGTTGTTGATTCTTTTATCATCATGTTTCTCCACGAATGTTGTGCTCAGGGTGATTGGTAGTGCTAGTTTTTCTCCACAAACAATGTTGTGGATGTAAAGCAAAATGTTACAGTTTGTGCTCATTTTTGTTCTACTTTCTCATGTAGACTCACCTAAAGGACCAGTAGCAAATTTTAAACTAAACATATGGCTTTCTTTTAAGAAAGAATTGCTTCGCGCCACTCTTCTATAAATGCCCTATTTACAGACTGAACATATAATAGTTGTTTTGTCCTGCCAACCGATTCTCCCAGCTGAATCATGGATCTCGGCATCTCCTTCAGAAGTACCATCCAGCCCACTTCCCTGATTAATGCTCTCCTTGTCCAGTCTGTTAGCTTAGATGGGTGGTTGTTTTGTTTTACTCTTTCCATTTTCACATGATGGATTAATAAATACTTTGTTCAAATCATTTGATTTTTCAAGGTACAAGATATCTGCAATTTGTTCTGCAGCCTTCTCTAACAGACTTGTTAGGTCTTCGTTGACCAACTGTAGATTCAAACAGGTGGATGGACTCTATTTACTAATTTATCTGAAAGATTTTACATAATATGGTATCAAATTAATGCGTACACACCTCACTTTCCAAATTATCGTGCAACATGTTTTGGAAGCCATGAGTTATTTTTTTTCCGCTTTATATATTTTTTACATGACAGTGTATATCCGGCACATAAAATCAAAATTAAATCCACCGACATCCTTTTTCACATGTAATAAAATGTAAAAACCTCAAAGGGGTGTGAATACTGAGGTACTTTATGACTGACATGCTTCATACTCAGATCCTAAGTGTGAAGAGGGGACCCACTCACAAGCAGGCCCTTACATTTGTGTAGGTATTGACATACATGTCTCCAAACCGTGCCGAGCACACTGATGACTATGTGATACCTGCCCGCGGTGTTTATAGGGAGAAGACGGAAAGTGGGGCAAATTTGCTGTGAAAATGTTTGCCGAGTCATTATGAATCCTGAAAGCGGCTTTCCCCGCAGCCCTTTGAGAGATCACACAGATTTGTATTTGTCTGGTGTCCCTGCAATGAACATGGCTGACATTTATTAGGTTGGATGTGGAAGCTAAATTACATAATCAGAGATAATTGTGTTCAATCAAATAATCATTTTTCCAACATGTCGCTCCCCCTCCTTTCATCTCAATACAGGGATTTCTTTGTAAGATTCGAAATTCAGCAGCTAAACTTAACTTTCACTGCCTTCGTCTGATTTTTCACATCATTTGGGGGATTGTATGATTAAGAAACTTCATGTAGTCAGTCTTTCATAACAATATGTGCTAAAATTTATCTGTGAAATTTTACTTTTCATATGGAGTGACATTTGACACTTGTGTAAATAAACACAATTTTCATAAGAAAAATATATGTAAATAAAGTTTTAAGCTTTCCTAAAAAACAAAAGTGAGCGTATTCAATGTTTAGTTGCAATTCAAATGTCAGATCTGAAGTGCAGCTTTCTGTACACATATTTCTGTGCTCATACTACACATATTGGTGAACATTCAGTTTATACCTATAAATTGTCAGGAGGAAAAGCTGTTTCCTCCACAAGAACGAACGAGTGTGACCTTTGGCCTTCGCACATTCGTCATGGAGTGAGATAAGACAAAGCCACGACATTGCATTGTTGCATCAACCAATCTCAGCAGACCTGCTGTTTTTCAAGCATGAACCCCTAGTAATTTGAGAAGCAAATGTGTCTTTATTTGCTTTAGGTCCTCCAAGCAGAATCTGCAAACCGCTATAATACACAAGACAAAATTAAACAAACCTCAGCTGAGAGGTTTACTACCGACAGCTTTTTTCTGTTATTTAAACTCAAAAACAGTGACTCAAAGAGCCTGAAAGATTATTATTTTAAATTGAAATGGTGGACTGTGCATCAGTGTTTCAGATTTGATTCATCACATGAGTCTGATTACTATCGTTCCCTGGAATGCCTACTACAAACGTCATCACATTAGCAAAAGTAAATACGTCTAGCTTTGGTCAAGATGCTTGGCCATAACTCAGGTGACACATTATGTGCGTAAGAATGAAGACTAAATCTTGTTGTTCCTGGAGCTAAGCTTTTATGATGTGTTTGTGTTAAGCACATACAAGAAGAGTCTGCTATCATTTACCACAATCCCCACATAGGTATTAATCTGAGTGAGCAATATAAATTGTGACCAGCGGTTTTGGTAGTCGCTTAAGGTAAATGCACAAACTGTCTATAAAAGGTTCATTGGTGAAGCTTAAAACGCTCCTCTCATGTTTTCTTTAACCTGCCCATTGAAATGTTTTTTTTTCTTTGCCATTGCCATTATTTACCTATTTTGTCACATTACCACCACTTCAATATATTGTAGTTTTTTTTGTTTGTTTTTTGTTTTTATTACAATGCATTGAAGAACAACATAAAGTAGTGCATAAATGTAAAATGGTTATATTTGATTTCTCACACTTGTTATACATACAAGTCTTAAAAGTGTGGTGTGTTTTTGTATTCATCCAAACTCGGTCAATACTCGACCTTCTTCCTGCAAATGCAGCTCCCAGCCTGTGTCTCAACTAGCTACAGCTTTCCACTCTAACTCTCTGCATGTTTAAGAACACTTACTAATAATAACAAGGTATAAAGCTCGATCAATCCTCACATTAACTCTGATCAGCTTCTCTTAAACTGCTGAAGAAAAGTATCCCGAAAGCATGATTCCACCTCCACCATGTTGCCACCATGAGTGTTTTTCATGTGAGCCAATATGTTCTAGTCTTATCTAACCAGAGGATCCTCCTCCACAAATCTGCTCTGTCTCCACATTTCAAACATATTCTCGTATTCTTTCATAACGGTCAGATTTGTGGATCAATAGTCCTGTCAGGATAGTTTTTTTTTCCATTTCCCACTGACTTACCATGAGCCCCATGACTGCCTCTAATTAATCCTGCCTTTGCTTGACCTGCCAGTGGAGGTGGACATCTGTGTCTCTGTCGTCATTTTCTTCTTAGTTTTGACTGATAAATTAAACAGAGCTCTGTGGGATGTGCTGGATATTATTTATGCTTACCCATATTTTATCCCTAATATCTCTGGTGTATTTATTGGTCTTAATGATGATGTTTTGTTTTGTTTTTTCCTTTACTATTGTTCTCAAACAAACCTCTAAGGCCTTCGCACAGCAACTGCATGTGTGCTGAGATTAAATGATACCTACCAGGTAACTCCTGAAAGCAACAGGCTGTACTGGATTTTCTTTACGGGTATCAGAGTAATGGGATCTGAATACAAACACACACTTTACTTTTCATATTTGTTTGAATTGATTTCCTTCTACCAGTGGATAAAATCAATCCCCACGGCATAACGCTACCACCACCATGCTTACTGATCTGTTTTTTTGTAAAACTTTTGTTTTATCATAGGATGGATATTGTATATTTAGGGAAAAAAATGCTGACGGAGTATGGAAGTGACATAGAGATGTTTCAGACGCACAACGTCCAAGTCTAATGGAAATTACCTCATAATGATTACAAAGTAATGGAAAAACTGTATTAAACTGACTGAACACAAGTATGTTTATGCTGTGTGTAAGTAAGGCTGCCATACATATAACATGCAGATAATGTACTGCAAAGAAGAGGCGCAGCGTAAACAGTGACCAGTCTGTGTGCACATTTAGCGGAGATGTATTGGAAAAGGAAGAGATAGCAGACAGCCTATCGCTGCCGTGAATGTGTCAGTTTACATGTCTCGACATCCTCACTCCGACTCTCTCCCACTTTAATCTACTGTGCTCCTGACCTACTGCTGTTCTGTCACCCTGACATGTTTAACAAATACTGTCTGGCCGGAGCAGGATACGCCGCGGCATTACGGAGGTGTTGTTGTCTGTCTGCGCAGAGAGTGATGGATTACGTAGGATTCGGCCATCCTCAGACTCCTTCAAACTTCAAACACCCCCGCGCATTTCTTCCCTCTAAGTAAACTTCATTTGTACACACACAGATCAGCTCGGGACAAACAATGTTATTTTTAAAGACGAGAAGTGATTTATTTATTTATTTTTTTTGTTTTTTCCCTTTTTTCCCCCCCCCCCCCAGTGACTTCCTTCCCTCAGCAACAAGCCCCAGAGAGACTGTCTACACAGCACCCTTCAATCATTCAACACAAAAGCAACAAAACACGCCTCTGTAAATATTTCAGTGGCCTCAGCACCCCGTCCAGGGTCCTGCTGCTCGCTGTCTGCTGGTCCTTGGAGGGAGCCATTGTGCGCCCCGCTGCAGCCCGTTGTGCACTGGGCTGCTGGACATTGCTGATCTGTTGTGGAGAGGCAGCAGTGCCTGCATGCATGCAGCAGCAGAGGACAGGATTAGGGGCTGATGTTTCTCTGTGTCTAACTGGCTGCCAGGCATGCTCTACTGCACTGGCACGCCTCACACGTTTTACATCATCTGATTCCGATTACAGCTGGCTGAAGAAAATATACTAAAGATTGTACAATACAGCAGAGAATTACAAAAAAAAAAAATACACGTTTTGGTATTTATTCTGTCCAAAAGTAATTCCTGTTTACACGCTATGATCCTTGCTGCCGTAAAGGAGAATCCTGTTTTGGAATGGCTTTGCCCTTGGTATGGACATTCCCTCTGCGCTTCACAGTGCAAGTCTTCAGGGAGCACTTTTCAATAAGAGTAATGTTCCCCCTGTGTATGGCCACCATTCAGCAATTTATGGGCATATTACAGATTCTAATAAAATTTTTGCAACCTTAATTAAAGAATTTCCCCCCTTCTTACTTTATGATAGTTAGGGTAGCCCCTTTCCCTACCACCACCGCTGTCCAATCTAATTATTCTGATGTACATAATTAGCATGAGCTGGCCATTGTTCACCTCATTTGCATATTATATTGGATAATTGAATGAGAGTGGCCGATGATTAAATTAGGGTGAATGACAGATGATTCTGCTCGCAGTGTGGAAAAGTTAACAGAATGAGCAGACTGGGAATACGGCATGTACCTCCTGAATATTTATACCTCCCACGGAGCCTGCCCCTCCCCAACACTCTGCTAATTTAAAAAATGTGCGGCAGCTAAATTCTGGTGAATCCCAGTCAGGAGATGATGCTTCTTTATCTTCAGCTGCATACGCACCTGGTTGCTGCACTTTAAAAGAAAATATTCTAAGCCCATAAGAGACATTTTCTGTCAGATCTTGTCTTCCATAAGTGAAGCAGCACATTTATATGCTGATAAGACAAATGAGAGTAGTGTGGGGAAATTCATTTCCAGGCACTTCCAATGTAAACACAGACTCCTGGTGCCTGCCCGCTAGCCTGCCTGCCTCGTTGGGGACAGGCAGGACTTTGCTGATGAACGAGTTCTCGTGTGAAATATGTTTCGAACCGATTTGAAAACGGAAGAAAAAAACTCAAAAGTTTCAGCTAATGGTGGCTACAGGTTCCCGTTGAGAAACTCATTCATTCTTCTGTTATCTGGTTTGTTATGGCAAAAGACTTACTTGCATCCTGGATTCATGCCGGTTCCTTGATATTTACTTTTTTTTTTCTCTCTCTTTTTTTTTCATTCAGCGTTAAGGCAGAATAAATGTTTAGAGGGAATATTTGGAACAGCTTTAGCCTTTCACATGCTAACGTAAGCACTGGGCGGCACAAGAAAGCTGGCCTGACCCGGGAGGCCAAGCGGTGACACCGTCTGCTGATTCAGTGCCGGCAGCCTCGGCTTTGTTTATGTGTGCACACGGGAAATAATGCACGTCATAAAAAGAGAAGTTTGAAAGGGAACCACTATCCACTGGATGATAAATGCCACCCCAGCTCCTCTGATGTAAAAAGCTTCAAAGCAGCAAAAAAAAAAAAAAAAAGCCATCTCAGAAGTGACTTATACACATTATTCTTACAATAACATTGGGCCGAGTTTTCACCCCTGGTGTTTCTCACATATTGACTCATCCGCTGTAAATTTGTCAGTACTTTTAACACAACAGGATCAATATTTACCATATTTTTTAAATGTATTTATTTTCTAACTAAATATAACAGATAGCCATCATTGCAACATCATGCAATTCATGCAAGTGAATTGCATGATGTTGGAATTTTGCCATTTTTAAATAGAAAGGTGTGGAGCGTTCGTCACTGTCTGTGTCTAAACACGATTTGAAGCACATGTGACCTGGGTTTGTCTTCGTCTCCGTCGAGCCTTGTAAAATCTCCTCTGTTCTCTGTGCCGTAGTGCACATCAGTACACAAAGTGTCGTCTCATTGTCTGGTCGGAGTCATTTCAGAGGACAGAGGAATTTACACAGTCTCAGGCCCTGTCAGTAGGTGGTATAGGAAACTGTAAAGATAAGCCTCCACTGCAGCCCTAAGTCAGCTTCCTTTTCACGAGAGCTGTCGGCATCTCTCAGATCTCACAGATAGAGCGGTGCCCTCCCTCTTATCAGCAACCTGACCATGCCCACTTCCAGCTGCTAGTAGGCCGATGCATATCTCCAATCTCAGCAGAGAGACGACGTTCGGGGTGTCAACGGACGAATCTGGAGTTATATCGTTACCTCATACGATATGTTGCTTTATTATTACGCTTTAAAGACTTTCAGGTCAGCTATATCTTGGTGGAAAAACATATTTTGAGATTTACCTTTAGGAGGCACAACCATTTAATGTTTAAAAAGAACATTAACTAAACCCTTGTGATCAGCTAGAAAGTGTTTTTATGCATTGCTGTTGACACATTCACGTGTGCAGATTGTTATTGGTATTGTTTTCCAAAATGTATTTAGCACAGTTTCAGATGTACTTAAAACTGGACCCCCCACACTGTTTATTTTGAGGCAGTAGGACACATTTTATGACGGCTTATCCAATGAAGGAAGTTCAACCTAATGCTGCCCTGGAGTAATTAGATTTTTGTACACCTACCTTGATGTGATGCTAGAGAAAATGTCAAGGGGTCAGCTTTAATTTAATTTATCCGCAGGGGCCCATGGCGCTCTGTAGCAAATTTCATGGCAGTCTAGTTTACTATTTTGCTAAAGAAGTTGATTCCAGACATTTAGCTGTAGACTGCAAATATATAAATCCACATGAAAGGAGCCATTCTGAGAGCTCTACTTTATGCATGCCTCCATTCATATATGCCTACTTTAAAGAGTTTTTCTACTGATGTTTACTCATTTTTTTTTTCTCCAATTAACAGTGTAAAATATATGAGAAGTTCCTATCCGATGATATAGTAAGCCTAAACAAGATGGCACATTCATTCAAATTGTTACCCTTAGCGTTGCCAAACCCTCTGATGCACAATGGATAATAAGTACATTGTTTGATCTCAAACACACTGATCAAGTTAGCCAAGAATGCCACTTACCGCTCCTTCACATCCTCGGATAACAATAAATCCACAAACGGTCAGTCTTTTATTTGTTTTGGCAAAAAGGAAAAACATTCTTCAAGAAGTGACTCATGGAACCTTGAAAAAGTATCTATAACCCTTGAACTTTTCCACATCATGACACATTACAAGCACAAACTTAAATGTGCTTTATTAAGATTTTATGTAATAGACCAACACAGTGAATAATTGTGAAGTGAAAGTAAATGAATGGCTCACTTATGTTATATACATGAATATAAATCTAAATTGTGGGATGCATTTAACATCGGCCCCATTCAGTCAATATTTTATAGAATCACCTTTAGACATAATTCCACCGTTTGAACATCTAGAGGCCTCATATTTTTGCTCATTCTTTTTTTGCGAACATGCTCAGTCAGGATGGAGGGAGAATCAGCTATTTGACTGTCTTTTCTGCAGATTCTGAATTGGATTTAGGTCAGAACTTTGACTGTGCCATTCTGACCTTTACTTTAATCTAAACTATTAAATTGTAGCTGTGACCACACATTTAGGGTCATTTTCCTGCTGGAAGGAGAACTTCTGTCACAGTTTCAGTTCTTTTGCAGCCTGTACCAGGTTTTCCTCCAGGATTCCCCTGGAGGAAGAAAGCCCTCCATCTTCTCATCAATTCTGACCAGCTTCCCTGTACCTGTTGAAGAAAAAGGACCCCACAGCATGACGGTGCCACCACCATGCTTCTCAGTAGGAATCATGTGATCAGAGAGTAATATTTTGTGTTCCATGCTTGTAACTTGAAAATGGTCTTCTCCTTTTCAACAATAATTTTATTCTTGCTACTCCCAATTAATTGCACTGGATTCATTTAGGGATAACAAAAGAACTATATATCTTGCAAAATTACAATTAAAAAATTGAATGTTTTTGTATCTTTGTGTTATCACATGAACTCGAGTGAAGTACATAGAGATTTGTAATTGTGACGAGTTAAAATATAATGAAATTAAGGAAGTATGACACTTTTAAAAGGAGCTGTATCTTTTTTTCCACCACATCCCAACATTCACATTCAAAAACAACACATCTGTCTATTCTGGCTCTTTTTGATTTGAAGACTTGATTTAAAAACGAGTAAAAAACAAAAAAAAAAAAACAAAAAAAAAAACATTGTCTAATCAAGTGGCTTTTCAGTCCATGTTCTATCCCTGGAATCTCTTTCACAGACGGTTGTGGGGAGTGTGTTAATGCAGGCTTAGAGCAGCGAGGTCTGCCACCTCTCCAGGTCCAGCTCCTCAGCCCTCCCCTGTTATCTTCCTTTTGCTTTATGTCTTCTACTGCTGCAAGCACTCGATGAAGGACAATTTGTTTGGATGCTTAATGCCATGGCACTGGCTGGTGGAGGATTAGATGCTATGGCCTAGTGATTTGTGGCGGCTGGCAGTGACTCGGAGAGCGTGTGTGTGTGTGTGTGTGTGTGTGTGTGTGTGTGTGTGTGTGTGTGTGTGGGTGTGCGTGTGTGTGTGTGTGTGTGTGCGTGTGTGTTGTATTTGTTCCAGGTCCTCGCTCTAACACAGACATCAGTTGTCTCCCAGCCTGCTCACTCTGAGCTCCTACATTTATGACAAAAGCACTTTAGTTACCGGAGGAAGATGTTTTCACACAATAGCATTCTTTTTCCTGATGAGAGATTACTATTATTTGAATTTGGTTGCTTCAAAATTTATGAAAGCCTTGCTGTGTCCTCTTTATGGGTCTTGGCAGCCCAGAGACTCATTGACTTATCCTGTGAAGCTTTGCAGAGTGAAAACTGCAGCCAAATGCTACTGTGAGCCTTCCCAGATCGCACTCGCTTTCTGAAACACACACAAATTATTGTTCAAAGAAAAAGACATGTTAATTTGACTAACCCAAGCCAAGAAAATTACTATTTTTTTTTAACCTTTTGAATAGGTTGAAATATCTTACTAGAGATCTTAAATCTACACACATCCTGTTTACACTAGCATTTTATTTTGAGATCTTCTCATGCTGGATACCCAGGAGCCTTGTTGTTTTATGCCTCGAGGCGAGCCAACTCTTCCACCAAATCTGGTGTTTATTCACGTCGGTATTAGTCTCGCTTTTAAAAAGATCGCTGTTCTTGAGAA